AGGGGAGGTTTAAAGAAGCTTTGAAAACAGCATCATCAAACGGACATTTTTTGCAAACCTCGGGTGAAATTTGAGAAGCTTGCCAAAACCGTTGAAGAGCGCGATTTGATTTCAGTAGACTCTAGTTTTTTATACGAGCCGGGAATCCAAATTTTTCGTAGCCAATTCTAAAGAAAAGCTTTAAAGTCTTAGTTGTGAATGGATTTCAAGAAATGCCGTAACAGTAAATCGTATTCTGTTTGAAATTTCGATGAACATACATTATAAAAATGCCAAAATTCGTGCCGTCTCTATCCGTCTATTGCTGACACGACTGGCCAATCTAATCGAAATCACGGTCGATTTTCGATTGTATAAAAATACAAAACATAGTTCTAACGAGCCAGTAAATCAATTCTACTCCAATCGATTGAACCGACCATATTCGGCGCGTATTTTTTCGTGCGTTAAGGTGATTCGACGGACGCCATATTTTGTGTCAGAACGGCATGCAATATATCGCATCAATTGGTTCCATTTTTTCAGCTACTCGTCATTTTTCTCCAATTTTGAGATCGCAATTCTGTTGTCAGGAGACTAAAGCACTCACTTACCAATTTTAAAGAAGAAATTCAACGTAATAAAGGCTTGGTTTTTTTTTTTTAGAGAGAAAATATCGCATTCGAGTGCAGTTTCGATATCAGTATCGAATGCGATATTTTCTCTCTAAAAAAACCACGCCTTTATTACGTTGAATTTCTTCTTTAAAATTGGTAAGTGAGTGCTTTAGTCTCCTGACAACAGAATTGCGATCTCAAAATTGGAGAAAAATGACGAGTAGCTGAAAAAATGGAACCAATTGATGCGATATATCGCATGCCGTTCTGATACAAAATATGGCGTCCATCGAATCACCTTAAACGGAAATAGCGACTGAGCTAGGTGCCCAAGTTGGCAACGATGGGGTTTGTGGTTCCATCGCCATCGATGGACAGCCGGTGGTCGATGATCATCAGGTCTGCAGCGGAGATCTGTTAAATTGCGGAGTTTTTCATCGGAGGTGAAATACTGGTGCTTGATTGAATATTGGCGAGTGTTTCTCTGAAGTTTGCGGTCACTTGAATGGAGCAATAGTTCACAGAAAGATCCGCCACGCCGCACGGTGGATAGAGTGAGTGGGAGAGGTCCGACAAAATTTGAAAACTTTAATAGATCATAACTCCGTTTATACAAAACTTTGAGGTTCTAAAAGTAGTTCCATTGGTCTCCTCGTAAAATTTTCTTCGAAGAACACCCCTTAAAATTCAAATTGTGATGGAATTAACATCAAAATTTGCAGTTTTAGTAAAAAATTTCATGTCCGACCTCTCTCATTGACTCGATGCACTGTGCGCCGCCGTGCCGTTTTTCGATTCCAATTAGGTGGTTGCTCCGTTAAATGAATAATTTTGACGCGTTTATGAATGAATTTTGAAACCGCGTATCTAGCCATGCTCTAGCTGTAGAAAATTTCGATTTAAGGTGATTCGATAGACGCCATATTCTGTGTCAAAACGACATGCGACGTATCGCATCGATTGGTTCCATTCTTCTCAGCCTCTCGTCATTTTTCTCGAATTTCGAGTTCGCAATTCTGATGTCAGGAGACTGAAGAGTTCATTTACCAATTTTGACAAGCAAATTCAACGTAACATAGACGTGTTTTTTTTAAAAGAGAAAATGTCGCATTCGAGTACAGTTTTGATACCAGTATCGAATGCGATATTTTTCCTCTAAAAAATAACTCAATTATTCAGCCATTCGTCATTTTTCTCGAATTTTGAAATCGCAATTCTGTTGTCAGGAGACTAAAGAATTTACTTACCAATTTTGACAATCAAATTCAACGTAATATAGACATGTTTTTTTTAGGGAGAAAATGTCGCATTAGAGTGCAGTTTCGATATCAGTATCGAATGCGATATTTTTCCTCCAAAAAACCACGCCTTTATTACGTTAAATATTTTTGTCATAATTGGTAAAAAAAAAACCCTTTAGTCTCCCGAATCTGAATTGCGATCTCAAAATTCGAGGAAAATGATAAGTAGCTGAAAAAATGGAAGTAATCGATGCGATATATCGCATGTCTTTCCGACACAAACTATAGCGTCCATCAAATCTCCTTAAGCTTCGGAGGAAAACACAAAAAATTACTTTATAAAAGAGTACCTACTTACTGATGCCTTGACTGCGGTATGATGACTCTCAACTAATAGAATTCAGTTCACCGAGCGTATGAGGCATTGTAGTGACATTCACATACAAAAATAAGAGAGAGGAAAAAAAAAAGTAGATAAATCCACGCACCCCGTTTAGTCGTGCCTTTCGGGTTTTTTCTCTAAAAATGGTAGGTTTATCTTATCCCTATGCTTTTAATTATTATCTTATTTCGTGCTCCAATTTTCGCATCGCGTAAGTTGTGTGTTTTTGTTCAAGTGTTCTTCATCAGGTTGAAAAACTGAAAAAACCTGACGAGACCTAAGAATAGAGAAATCATAAGGAAACGCAAATAAAACTGAGAAAACATTTTAATTTAAAGCTTCATTTCGGAACTCTTACATTAAAATTTCGAGGAACGGTGATTGAGGAAAACTAAAGTTGAAATACAAATTAATTTTGAATACGCATAATGGTAGGTAAATTGATACCAGATCAGGATTCAATTCCGTCCCGAGAAGGCTTCTTTGAGTCCCATTCTAGAGTTTGATGCTATTGTGGCGGAACGCAGCGATCAGGACCCGGTGTAGTAAATGAACCATCATCACGGTAGATCGTATGTTGGTATAGGTCCATTGTCCTCTGCATCATTCGTCGCAGGGGCTGCGAGAGTTCCGTACTGACACAGCATGCCAATGAAAGCCACAGCTAAATACTTGACGAAAGCGCCCGGAAACTTCATCTTGGATGACGTAGTCACTTCAACTGCAGCAACGAGGAACTATTAGATCACTTGCAACGTAGTAGCAGACTGATGTTCTTGCGTATTACGGCAGCGTTTTTAAACCCGAGCAAGGACGTGATAACTAGCTTTATCTATGAACCGAAAATCAGGCGGCTACGACGTACTCTTGCGTTAATTTTTCCCGTTGGAAACCTTATCGCCTTTGAAATTTCAACTTAAAAATATAATTTTAAGTAATGTTTCAAGGAATTTTGTGGTAAAGTTTCTAGCTGAAATCTTATCACATTTGACCTTAATTTTATGATAATTTTGTCTCTAAAAAAATCTCTGGTTAAACTCAGGATTGCGAAGAAAATTTTCTAGATAATCTATCTCTGTCGCTTTGCAGGATGCTAGTATTATTTGATATGCTTATTTTTTACAATTATCTCCCGCAGTTTGACTTTTTTTAAAAAAGATTATGCGTAGAAACATTTCAAAACATATTTATTCTTTATTTTAAGAAAGCTTCAAAAAATATTTTTAAAATAATTTGCCGTGGAGACTTTAAATGTGTTTCATCGACTTTCAACTTTTTAAAAAGTTATAAAATGATTAAAAACCGAATCCAAACAGTTAAAACAATTTAAAATCGCATATAAGGTTTACCTACTACTTCAACGATTCAGAGTCGTTTCGAAATGTTTTTTTCAATCTTTGTTTTAAAGTCTCATCTCTGAAACATTAGAGATATATTTAAAACAACTTATAAGCATCATTGTGCGATTAGGGCGTGTGTCGTGTCCAACGTTCAAAATACGTGGGAGGTTGACAGTCCACCTGTTCTCCTTTTTGGGTGCACCTTATCGCAACAACAAAAGCATACACGCGCAAAATGACACATGTCGGAGAAAGATTTTTAGGGGGAAAAAGTCGCACAAGTACTTTCTCCTTTCTCCTAATAGGAACTCGCTAATTATCTCTTTGATTTATGAAACGGTCTCGCGAAGCATGTTAATAATCCACATTAGCCCGGGAGAGAAGATAATTCTTTGCGTTTGAAATGCATACTAAATATTAAATAATAAACCGGAGTGTCATCTTCGTTTCTCCCGAAGAAAGCTGGTTGTTGATCATAAGTATTATAATATTACCGGTGTTCATTGATCCTCATCCGGATTCTGTTTATTGTCGAGATTCTGAACTGCCCGCAGTGACTCTGATTCTTTTGTAGTGGTCGCTGCAGGATTTTGACCCGAAGTTCATAACAAAATTACCGGCTAATACTTTATCAAACTGATTAAAATAAATAAGGAGCTTGGAAGACAAGGCGCATAAGTGCAGTTTTCACTACTTCGAGAAATACGTGTTTAAGGTTTCAAAATTACACGGATCCTCATGGCGGGACGAAAGCTCAAACTGACTTTTTGATGCTAAAAAATTTCATTTCGGGAGCTTTGCCGCAGAATATTCAATAAGACTAGTTTTACTTGAAATCATTAATACTTCAATGGAGATCTTGCTTGTGTGAGGATTTTGCGATTTGACTGTTGATTTTTATATAAAAGTTCGCGAGAAACACGATGGTGCCACTGATTTTCTCTGAAATCAACTCCCAAGCTCAAAAAAAGCTCTCTAGTTGAGGCCAAAACGGAGGGGATATCCCACGCTATCCTGAGAGTCCACCTCTACATCAAGACACACTTTCCATGCAAAGATAGGGAGCAAATGCATTAATGACAGGGGTTCCACTTTATTTGGGGACTTAAAAACTGAAAACACGGCATCCCTGCTAATGTATTTGCTCCCTATCGTTGCATGGAGACTTTGTTTCGATGTAGAGGTGGACTCTCAGGGTAGAGTGGGATACCCCCTCCATTTTGGCCTCAACTTTGAGAGCTTTTTTTGAACTTGGGAGATGATTTCAGAGAAAACTAGTGGCGCCATCGTGTTTCTCGCGAACTTTTACATAAGAAACAATTGTCAAATCGCAAATCCCTGCAACATCTCCATTTCAGCTTGCTGATCCATATCCTGTCTTCTTCGATCTCTCCACATGCCGACCCTTCTAACACCCTCCGATCTCCTCTTTCTGTTCCAGGTCACCACCCCGAACACGCCGGTCCTCGACCTCCAGCGTGGGCTCCGGCGGGACCCCGTCGACGAACCTCACCCCCGGCGTGCCGAACCACACCCAAGCCCGCGCCCGGAACCGCAGCCGCTCGCCCACCCCGAAACCAACCTCGGCCCCGCGACATTCCCTCTCTCTCGGCACCCGCGCCTCCATGGACGCCGGCCGGCGCAGCCGCAGCCCCACCCCGCGCAACACCCGCCCCTCCGGCCCGACCCTCGCCACCGCCGACCGCGCCTCCCGCCCCCGCTCCAAGTCGCCCCTCCCGCAGACCGAGAACTTCACCATCCTCTCGGAGAAGGCCGCCACCAAGCTGGGTGCCCCCAGGAGTCGGAGCCCTTCGGCCCAGGGGAAGCGCAGCCGCTCGCCCTCGGTCCATAGGGACAGGAGTGACAGCTACCAGGTCAAGGATAGGTCCAGGACCCCCAGCTTGCATGACCCTGACTTCCTGGGGCAGTATATTCAGCGACCTGAGCATAAGTACGAGTATGGAATCGATGAGACGCCCTTCCCCAAGATCTCCGATAACTTCGTCAACGAGGACTTCCGTAAGGTGAGTTCAACCCAGTATCTGCTATTCCGCACTAACCTATCTAGTGGTGACTCATGAAAATTGGCAACACTGTTTTGCTCCCATTTAAATGCATCGAAAATATCGGTTGGTGAGGCGTCCTGCCTCACCGAGAATCGTTATCGATAGTCTACCTTACATTTAAATGAAGAAAAAACAGTGATGCCAACTTTCAAGAATCGCCACTGATCTAGTCAGGTACTCGTTTTTTGATGTCTCAAGTACTGTGTAGTAAATATTATGAGGTCCGTTCAGATATAAAGTATTTACGTCCAACATTAGTAGCGATAATTGGACTACATACATTTTGCACATTAACCTATGTCTAACCGCAATCCGTTCGTAGTCACAATTAATTTGATTTACTGGTAATTTCTAACCACTTTCAACCGGACCCTTATCCTGAGTTGAGGCAGTTAGCAACTCGTCTTGGTTAAACCTCGCTGTGTGGCTGAACCTCACTGTGTGGCTGAACCTCACTGTGTGGCTGAACCTCACTGTGTGGCTGAACCTCACTGTGTGGCTGAACCTCACTGTGTGGCTGAACCTCACTCTGTGGCTGAACCTAATTGTGTGGCTAAACCTAATTGTGTGGCTGAACTTCACTGTTTGGCTGAACCTCACTGTGTGGCTGAACCTCACAGTGTGGCTGAACCTCACAGTGTGGCTGAACCTCACTGTGTGGCTGAACCTCACTGTGTGGCTGAATCTCACTGTGTGGCTGAACTTCACTGTGTGGCTGAACCTCACTATGTGGCTGAACCTCACTGTGTGGCTGAACTTCACTGTGTGGATGAACTTCACTGTGTGGATGAACTTCACTGTGTGGATGAACTTCACTGTGTGGCTAAACCTCACTGTTTGGCTGAACCTCACTGTGGCTTAACCTCACTGTGTGGCCATTTCAGTCACAATTAATTGGACGTATCTCTGCCAAACGCAACTATAGACGATTGGAAGTGCTCAAGAAAGCTGCATAAGGAACAATGTGGGCGTGATTCCCTTTGGGAAAATGGAAAAGCGGGATTTTGCATTCTACCAAACGGAACTAAGTGCCAAGTAACCGCGGCACTCATGAGCCGTGGACATCAGAAAAGAGCGTCGTGGACAGCTCAGGAGTGAAAGTGGACGACGAACGACAGCGCAACGGCGGCTGCTTCGTCGCCGCTGACGTCACTGGCGCTTTATAAGTCCCATTCATTCTTACGGCTCTCGACTAACGAGCACACCCCTTCTTTTCCACCTGCCTCCGGTTCCATTAAGCAGAGTGAAGATGTTGCATGTGTGAGGGATTTGCGATTTGACTGTTGTTTCTTATGTAAAAGTTCGCGAGAAACACGATGGTCCCACTGGTTTTCTCTGAAATCATCTCCCAAGCTCAAAAAAAGCTCTCGAAGTGAGGCCAAAATGGAGGGGATATCCCGCCCTACCCTGAGAGTCCACCTCTACATCGAAACAAACTCTCCATGCAAAGATAGGGAGCAGATACATTGACAGGGCTGCCACTTCATTTGGGGACTCCAAAACTGAACATACGGCAACCCTGCTAATGTATTTGCTCCCTATCGTTGCATGGAGACTTTGTTTCGATGTAGAGGTGGACTCTCAGGGTAGGGCGGGATATCCCCTCCATTTTGGCCTCACTTTAAGAACTTTTTTTGAGCTTGGGAGTTGATTTCAGAGGAAACCAGTGGTACCATCGTGTTCCTCGCGAGCTGCTACATAAGAAACAACAGTCAAATCGCAAATCCCTCACACATGCAACATCTCCATTACGTCCAATCAAAAAATGACGGTTTGATCTATCTATTAAGATGATTCGTTAAGCTCAAGTGACGTGGTCGAACTGGCATGCGATATATCGCATCTTTTAGGTCAAAAATCTCGGCAGATTTTGAATTTTCAGCAAAAAAAAGGACGATAGCCCCTGCGCATGAGCCTGAAGAATCATTCTAAACCCAAAAATCGGCAAAATTCAGAGAAATGAAAGCAGGATTGTGTTCGGAAAAAAACCTCGCATTCGATACCGAAATCGATAGCTGAATCGAATGCGAGGTTTTTTTTCCAAACACTATCCTGCTTTCATTTCTCTGAATTTTGCCGATTTTTGGGTTTAGAATGATTCTTCAGGCTCATGCGCAGGGACTATCGTCCTTTTTTTGCTGAAAATTCAAAATCTGCCGAGATTTTTGACCTAAAAGATGCGATATATCGCATGCCAGTTCGACCACTTCTCTTGAGCTTGACGAATCACCTTAAGCTAGGCGATTTTATTTTCTTTTTCCCGTGGGGTTTCAACGATAATTTTTCTCGTTGCCAGGTGACCCCCCTGCGGGAGCGGAACAGCATCGACGAGGGGCGGAACCGCCGCAACTCGCAGGACCCGAAGGGCGTGGACACGTCGCCGGCGCACCGCGTCTCGGACAACTTCATCGGGACCTCGCAGTACCACTTCCTGAACCCGAACCCGGTGAAGGAGAACCGGCGGAGCGCCTCCCCGATCCGCGAGACCTCGGGGGTGGACTACTCCCCGGCCGCCGTCCGCGTCTCGGACAACTTCGTCAACCACCCCCAGAAGACGGGCGTCAAGAAGGCCGCGCCGAGCAAGAGCCCCCGGAAGTCCATCTCCAAGAGCTCCGACGACGACCCCAAGAGCGACGCCCAGCTGTCCGATCACTCGGACGAGGGATACCGGAGCCTCGGGCTTGTGCCCGCGAATGCTGCTACCCCGAAAAATGGTGAGTGTCTTCTTTTTTTTATACATGGAGGTGGTGGTTTGAGAGAATGGCAGGAGACAGGTTGCCGAAGAAGGTCCTTGGTCGGGTTCCTCCTGGGAGAAGACGCAGAGGGCGCCCAATGAAAGGTTGGAGGGAGGGGATTGAAGCGGAAATGTTAAGGTGCTCAATCCCCCAAGGTTTGTGGTTTGAAAGAGAGCAGTGGAGGTGAGGAGTCGTAGAGCGCGAGGGAGTGCTGTAAAGCGACTTGTATGTATGTAGGTGGTGGTTTTCACGCACTGAAAAAAAAATCTCTGTGTATTTACTAGGAAGAGGGTAAAATTACCAAGAATCCAGGGTTCTATTTGATCCCAGTTTTTTCTCGGTAAAATTACCATTTACGGAACTGGTAATTTTACCGAGAAATCTCGGTAAAATCATTGAACTTTCTCGGTAATTTTACTGGACCTCGGTAAGAACGTCAAAATTTTTTATCGACTGTGGTAGAATTACCGAGATAAAATGCCAAAGTTGCCGGGAATTGATTACCAATAAAAGTGGTATTCTTACCTGAAAAAAAACAGTAAAAATACCGGTTTTTAGGTAAGCTTACCAGTCTGTCTTGGTAAAATTACCAATAGTTGGTAAAAAAAAGTGAGATGGTAAAGGTGCCAACGGACCTTGGTAAAAACGCCGAGAATTTTTTTTCAGTGTGGTGTTTTCGTGGTTGAGCCAGGAGAAGTAGTAGTTTATCGCAAAATGTGGTCCATTTAGCGTCCGAGAACTTTCCTTTTTTTCAGTGAGAGAGATGCGAAGTTCACTGCGCGAATTACGGAGGGCGAAAAGAACTCAGCAACATTTCTCGCTCTGAAACGAACTGTTTTTCTTCCGTTTTCTCCCTCCCTCTGACAGTTCTTCTCACTCTTTTGATTAATTACGTTCGCTTTTTTCTCCGTTTGATTGAGTTGCTATTTTGAGGAACGAAACGCGCGGTGCCTCCATGTCGGAACTCTGTGTGCAGTCGGAATTTTCTGGAATGAGGGCTTTTGCAAGGGTCCGAAATGTTTATTTTTCTTGCCGGAATCGCTCCTTTACTCTGCCATGCTATGGAAAAATGCAGTATGAACTTTCGAATGTTGCCAAATGTATTCCCACAGTATCCATTTTTGTAGGAAAGTAATAAGTATTTTTGACTGAATTGGTCAGAGGCTTGGATTAATTTGTGAGTAAAATTCTCCAAAAAAATTGGAAGGAAATTATGACAGAGTTTTTTATAAGTGTTTTTATTCTATTGGAGAGAATTTGGCAGCGTTTGAAGGCTCATACGGTGTTCCTCCGTAGTACAAAAGTATTATGGTGGGGTTGTTGAAGTACTTTTCCAGCGATTTTGAGGAATCGATGCCTAAAAACTGCACTGCTAGTTGAAAGCAGTCACTCAGTTCTAATTTCATAACTATAGTACTTCCTCTTTCCTCTACTTGTCTCTCCTTTGCTTAAGTGTAAAACGCACTCTAGACAGTTAGTCGCAAATATTGAGACTCTTTAAATTCCTCTGTTGCAATAAACCGTAAGCCCCAGTCACGGAGGATTATCATAATACCACCTCCTGTCTTATCTACGTAATTTGTTTTCGTCAAAAACCGTACCACGAGCAATGTCATAAACTCATTAATAACGATTATTCTCCAGAGTTCATCATTCATCAAGTTATGATGGATGTAAACAGAGTTTGAAATTTGAGATGCTAACTAACTTGTTTGCGTCGTTCCGAGCGCAAGAAACCGGTGCAATTAGTATCATTACCGTTCTAAGACGCATATTCCAGATTCAAATTCTATTAGATGAGCAATAGAAATGTAGTGATGAGCTTAGTCAGTGAATAAAGGAAGAGGTCGAGGAAGATGTACTTGTGACTTCGTCGTGGGGTTAGCAGGATATTTTTTTCTAAAGTGAATGATTTATTGTCTCTTGCAGCTTCCATAAATTGGCGTTTCGTGATGGATTTGGGATTAAAAATTATCATCTCGCGTCAACTCCTCATCTACGGTTTTTGAAAAATCGGCGCTATCACTGAGAAAAAACCATGGTTATAATCACCATATTAGTGGTGTTCAATATGCACTCTTAATCAGTAGTGGCCATAACTAATAACCAGTAGTAAAATTACCATTTAATGGTAAAAATATCTCTATTACTGGTTATGGCAACTACTAATTAAGAGTTCGTATTGAACACCACTAATATGGTAGTTATAACCATAATTTTTTCTCAGTGTACGCGCTCATGCTGCCGTTACGTAGCGCAGATTTGAACGCCTCCTCCCCCTGTAACGTATCCGTAACGTAGATTCAGGACCCCCTCCTTCTTAGAGCGTTATGTATTTAATGAATAGATTCTTAGCTGCGGGCCGATTATTGAAATGGATAGACAAAGCTATAGACAAAGCTATAGACAGAGCTATAGACAAAGAAGACAAAAGGGATATGGAGGGATCCTATCGGTGGAAGCGGATGGTTGCTATGGACAAAGGCAGTAGGTAAGACTAACTAACGGCAACCCACGAGAAACCCGACAGTCAGTCCATCATTTTCTCCCTTAGTCTATAGGAACCACACATTTCAACCAATAGGATCGCTCCATAGGTACCATAGAGAAAAAAAGAAGGTGTTCGCATTTCGGGCATCTTGGAATTTTTTTGATGGCGTAGGTCGGTACAGCGACGTTTTTCATCGATTTTCTTGGAAATTGTGTAATTTATGGAAAAAAGTCATTCTATAAAAAGTGCTTGAAATTATATCATGAGTTGATTTAAGCAAAAAAATGGGACATTACGGTCCGGTTTTCATAACTTCGAATTCCGGATTTCGCTGGCCAGGTTGTACCGACCTACGTCATAGGGTATAAACAAACCTCAAGGTGCAAACACATCCTTTTTTTTCTCTATGGCTCCATACTCCCTATGTCCTTCTTGTCTATAGCTTTGTCTATCATTTCAATAATCACCTTGCTGAATAGCAAAGAACCAAGTGGAAAAACACCCCTTTAACCTGAAGCAGCATTAGATGCACCTGCGACTTACAAGCGCTTGTTGAAAGTGAAACACCAATAGGAAACCAGGATTTCGATAGCTCGACGTCGAGCCATCGAAATCCTCCTTGCTCACTGATTAACTTTCAACAAGCGCTTGTAACTCGCAGGTGTATCTGGCCCTTGAAACCGCCGTTTCGGTCACTCCACGTTAATTTTCCAATTTTCTGAAAGACTTGAGCGTGAATTTTTGTAGTCCTGCTTCCTCCTTTCTTTTAAAGCAGTATGAATATGAACCTGCACAATTTAATGCTTTCAAATTTGATTTATTCGTAAGCCAACGTATAATCGAATAATCAACAAAGCAATCTCAATTAATTTAATTTCAACAGCAAACAAAGCTGGCAGGAGCCGTGCACGCGAAGGGAGGATAGTTCGCGATTCATGTCGAAGCCACGCAAAACCATGCTGCCGATGCAAATAAAATATCCATACTTTGAATGAGGTCTCAAGAATAAGAAAACACAATTTGACAACGTGCTCCGGCATGAAGGCTGCGCGTTATTCATTGAGCATTCCTCCGCTAAGATCGGAAAATATTTGAACTTAGGGCACTGCACATACATACATTAAGGTCATTAACACTCGCCATAGTTGCCGATCGACGGTTATTTTGTCAACTTCAGCCATTTACTCTGTGCAGTGTGCAGACTGTCAAAATAGCTTTTTCGCTTTTGTGTGAAGCACCCGGAAGTGAATTTTCTGGCTTAATCGTAAGTCGAAAAATGCGTAGCTCTGACGTCGTCAGTCATGCGACGTTGTAAGTTCCCACTCATGTTTTATTTTTTAAAAGGAAACTAACCGACTATTTTCCAAATGTATCAGGCCGCCGATAGAATTTGTGGTTACGTCATTTCCGTCGCGACCCTAGCGTGAATTTCAAATTCTTGAACTTCGTTGCGTAGAGGTTTTGAAAAAGAACCATTTTCTGTTGAGTAGGTTCTCAATTACTCGGGAATGTACAAAAATAGTACTGTAAAAGTACTGTTTTTTTCCAACCAGTTTCAGTAGACACTCTGCCTCAAAACTGATTTCACCGCACATTAAAACAAATTACGGGTTATACGGACATTCAGTCCATTCCGGGCTAAGTGGCCGAAAGTACCGGGTGCTGGAGCCGTAGCTTCGACTCAGCGACAAGAACCCTCCACTGGCCTCTTGGCGACAGGTGGAAGCTTTTACTTTCAGGGATTCGCCACGTCCTTCTGAACAATTATGAGGAATTTATAAGGGAGCAACGGTCATGTTACCAACTAGGTGGATGATGAGCTTCGGCTGACATAATAACTCAAACAAATGTCCCAAACTTCGGTATGCTTGCAAAAGATAACCTTTTTTCCCTCTTTTTACCTCTTTTTACCTCTTTTTCCCCCTTTTTTCTCCCTCTCCTCCTTTTTCCCTTCTTTGTCCCCCTTTTTCCCTTCTTTGTCCCCCTTTTTCCCTTCTTTGCCTCCCTTTTCCCCTTCTTTGTCCCCCTTTTCTTCGGCCCGAGGGGCTTTTTTTCGGTCACGCCACCATGGTCCCCCCTGTGTCCACCACCGCCCCAGCACGACGTTTCTGACTACATTCTCGAACCCTGGCTTTTCTCTTGTTGCAGGTTCACCAAAACGGCCAGCCCGGACGACCCGGAGTCGCTCGGTGGGCGGCGTCCACTCCTCGCCGACGCACCAGTCCCCGGCCCACCAGACCCAGTCGCCCTTCCGCCGCAACGCCTCGACCAACCGGTCGGCCCGATCCGCGGGCTCCTTCAGCAACCCCAGCTCCCCGAGCAAGGCCTCCAAGACGCCCTGCGACGCTCACCCCGGCCTCGGGCGGAAGCAGAAGAGCTCCCTGACCGAGGACACGTTCTGCCAGCAGGTGGCCGACATCATGCAGCAGTACGCCGCCATGATGCCCTCCCCGAGGAAGGACTCCAAGCCCGACTGCGGGATCATCACCAGGATCCCCGCGCCCGTCGCCGGCAACAAGTCGTGAGAGTTCGCCCTCCTGTCGACCTTGGTCAAGTACTCGCCCTTCGTCCTCCTCTTCTTCTCTAACCTCTGTTTGCTCAGGGTGTCGGTCTTTCTTCTGGGCAAGTGAGCTCGTGCATTGCGGATCCGGAGCCTCGTTGTTGAAATCCATGTCGACGCGATGAGACATCGGAAGTTGACGTATTACACACGAAGAAAAATCTATGGCTTTATGCTGCCGTGCTAAGGAGGAACGCCGTATGAACATTCGAGAGTTGCCAAATTTCCTTCGATGAAATGTCTATTTTTTTGGGAAAATTATGAATATTTTTCCTTTAAATTTTCAGAATTTTTAGGTAAAATTGCGAACTAAATTATCTGAAAAACTGGGAGGAAAATATTCATAAATTTACCGGGAAATTCGTGTTTTATCAAAGGAAATTTGGCAACGCCTGAAGGTTCATACGGCGTTCTTCCTTAGCACGGCAGTATGAACCAATCAGTGGTTCATATGGAGTACAGTTAATAGTCCCAAATGAGCTAATGATTCTCGGTCTGTGAACCATACTGCCGTGCCAAAGAAGAACTCCGCATGAGCCTGTAGGCGTTGCCAAGGTTCCTTCAATAAAATGCGGATTTCCTGGAAAACTTGTGGATATTTTTCTCCCAATTTTTCTCAGGATTTCATGCGCAATTTAATCTACAGTATCTGAAAATTTAAAGGAAAAATATTCATAACTCTTCTCCAAAATTAAAAATTTATTAGAGGAAAGTTGGCAACCCTCGAATATTCATGCGGCGTTTTTCGTCAGAACAGCATCATACTAAGGTATCTCGTATCATTATTTGTAAGGTATCTACACCAGCACTAAGGTATATGTGCTATTAGTATATTTTACCTTTACTACTATTTGTGGTGTTCCATATGAATCAATAATTAGTTTATAAGCCATAGCTTTTTCTCAGTGGACGGCGCAGTTAGGCCCTTGTCTTGACTTACCTCGCCGACAAAGCCAGGAATAGTTGCAACAATCAAGCTGCTGGAGACGGAAATTGCCGTGCTAAGAAAAACGACGTATGTGCCTTCAGATGTTACCAAATTTTGTTTGACAAACTACGAATTTTCGAGGACATCGGTGTAAATTTTTGTCCGAATTTTTCAGAGGTTTTTGTTTGTAATTTGATTTAAAAAATCAGATAATTTCATGAAGAAATATTCGTGACTTTTCTCAAAATTTGTTATTTTTTTAGACAAAATTTTGCAACATTTGAATGTTTACACAGCGTTCTTCCTTAGCACGGCAGAAAAGAGGCACTCCTCTAGCCTCTTTATGACAGTTATTGGGGAAGTTCTGGAACGGTACCGAACCTGACTTCAACACAATAGTAATACAAATAAACGCAGACTACACTACATTTTGCAGTAAAAAGCTTATATTTCTAGTTCGTCCATGGAAGAATCCATCTGCATTTGACGAATAATGACTGATATGTCATTTCTAAACTGAGCCAAAAAAGTGGGTTGTTGCTGCAAAATGTACATAGTTCAAACTTATCTTTGATAATAATAATGCGTCTGCAGGATTTAGGAGCAGCAACTATTTATTCATACAGAGTGTTTTTGATGCATACTGGTCGTTCATTGCGGATATCATTTTTCTGGATATCCTTTAATCTGAGTTAGTTGATTTCAGCTCTCAATTTAAGCTACCGTAATACCAAATGGTACGGTAAGAAACATTTTCATGATTTTCAAAGAGGATTGCATTGTCAGATAACATTCTGGCAACGTCCATGACTTGTTGGTGCGTTTTTGAAGGTGCTTTAGGATCAAGAAAAATCCGGTGGCGTGGCGTGCTTTGCGATATATCGATTGATCTGCCATTCAACCGTATGGAAAAGGATCGATGGACACGAACACCTCAATAATCGATTCTTTACCACAGCTTCAATTGAGGATTCATCGATAATCGGTCACTCGCACGCCTCACCATTAGTTTGGAGAAAACAATGTTAAATGATCCATCCTAAGGCGATTCCTTTTGCTCGAAAAATGTTGACCTGAGTTTTGTTCACAAGTTTTTTTTCCTCTTTTTCTTGGACCAGGTAACAAGAGCAATACTTTGTAAATTCATCGAAATGATTTTTTATTTATTTATTTATTTTTGTGGGGAAGGCTGCAAAATATCATTCAGAACTGACAGTATTAGAAATAAGTTCACATAAAATGTTTAATATCAATGCTCTTGAGCCGACCTAAAGGTCGATGTAGAGAATATCTTCCTTTTTAGTGATTAATAATTTACATTACATTACCTAAAATGACGTAGGTAGACTTTTTAAGGACTGACGCAATAAATATCTATTATCACATCCATATCTTAGCAACTTGATCCTCATATCATTTCCAAGGTCTGCGAGTGCTCAATTTTCGAAATTAAAAAAGAAAAAAAAGAAGTTAACTTGAACCAGAATCGTGCTTCCTTAGATTTCGTATGTTGACCAATCAACAATTTACATACATGACGTAAGTAATTTTTTATAATGTTGATGTTAAAATTTTGCAACTGTTGCACTTTGCAATTGCAACCATCGTGTTCTCAGAGTTATGGTTTGCAATAATTGACGTGGAAGGCTCAAAACGAGATTTCATAGATAGATGTTCTGAAAGATAAAATAAGAAAAGAGGCTGACTTTCTCGTGATAAATCATATCTGAAAGCAATGCATCGGCTTCCTCCGTCTAAAAGTCTGATTCTTTTGAACTCGCAATAGGTGTAAGTACATTCATTCCGTTCGTAACATATATCTGCTTAGGTCAATCTATTAGTCAATTTTTTACGTTGAACACTATTTAAAATCCATACGTGGGTCAGTAGGACCCGTTTGATATCGTAGCTCTATCTATATTCAATGGACTTTTGTAGCGCGTCACAGATTCCATAACTCATTTGTAGTTTGGAAGTATTCATCAGTGGAAAAAGTGTATATCAATCTGTACGAATTTGCATTGAGTCAAGTTTTAAAATGGTCACTTTTCAAGGTTAACGTTCTATCGCAGCAGTAGTCAGTATTTTCAACATTATGGGTTTTTAAGTTGGACTAAATTAATTTGAGCGAAAGCATGTCCCTAAATGAAGTATCTTTTCCTAAACTTTGTTGAATAGTTTACGTTTCCGAAAGAGAGCAGAAATATTGTTTTGCATGTGAGGGGTTTTGCGGATTATTTTGGAAATTTAAAAGATTTATTTCGGGACTAAGAGAAAATGTCTTGAAATTTTCAAAATGACATGCAAAACTGTTTTCGTGATGAAAAATAAATTGTCTATCAAATGTGTCATTAGTTAGTATCAATCGGCTCCCTTTCAACAAGCATCGTCCATTTCTAATTTTATCCATAGAAAGTACACGCGATCATGCTTCCTGCTATATCAGTATTCCATTACCGTAAAATTTAAAGTTACTTTAACGCAAACTCGGTTAGAACATTTTCAGACGTCCCTGTCAAAGAATATCGGTGCGGGAAACAATTGTCTCAAAACCAAGGTTATTCCAAAGGAAAAACAAACGCTATGGACAATTTCAATGAAAATCATTAATTAGAATATCTAAAAAATTTTCTCTTAGAAGAACTGGCAGCCAGCTCTCTCCAGATATTTGAATATTTTGTCATCTCGCAACGTCTAGAAAACTTTCCCGCACCACAAATAGTTTTTCCTGTTGTAAACTTCTGTAAATAAACGAACTGTATTTTCTTTTGTATAGTTTCCAGCATATTGAAGGATTTTTTAATGTTGAGAGTGTTGAAATAGCAATTCATAATGAGTAAAATACATATAATATTCTTGGAAAAGAACTTTTAAGTATGTTATTCACTATGATTATGAGTCGATTCAAATCCTGCTAAACAAATCTAGCCGTTGGCAGTCATTTCAATGCACCCATTCAAAATGTAATGCCAGAGCAATTCCCCGAACTTATGAGTGAATTCCTTCCCAACATAAGCCCGATTTTAAATTTAATTACAACTCGCTAATGTAGGGGTGCTCACCATGCCATGAAGACGAGTATAAATGAATTCCAAGATTTATACTTATCTATGCACTTGAATGAATGCTATATTGAAAACCAATCCTCTCTAGAATAAAGAAGGAAAACAGATGTTAAAACTTGTGATTTAGTTAACATAGAGGCAACACTTTTGTACAGCAACTTTTATCTTGTAAAATGATAGAGCAGAATTTAGGTAGGTAGAAAATAAATGTACGAGAAGTTATCTTATTTTTTTCTTATATTGCCAGTTATTTTTTTATAAGTAGTCATTAAATTACTATTTTCGTAGGTAATAATCAGGTTTTTTTTTCAAGAATCGAGGAAGGACTGTGGTCCTAAACATAGGGGAACACCTACAGTCTGAAAATTTGAGGGGTAGTTGCTGCATCTTCTTAGCCATCTTTATACAGTTGCTACGTATAGTGAGACGATTCGATCACTTACGTCAAAAAATGCGTAACTCCAAATAAAGTTTATTTCCATCGAAATTTCTGATTATGGCTTACTTTTAAAAGGAGAAGTGACTGCTTTTCCTTGAAATTCTTTGTGGATATTTTTGAATGAGAGAAAGAAATCCACAGAAAATTTCAAGAAAAACTGTTGATCCATTTTTCATCTCTAAAAACATAAGTAATCGGTTGCAACGTCGCATCAAAGATAAGCATTTGCAAACTTCAGCAATCGAAATTGTGGTTAATTTTTACCAAACTAACAGTATTCTTTGTAAGTTTGCCCCCGATTAGTAACGTCCTTGTATACACTTAGGTGCGTTTTAATTTGACTCGGGAAAATAGGAATAAAAATTTCTGGCCTTTTGATCTTCGATAGGTGATTTTAATAGAAAATGAAAATTGGTGCTTACTTGTATCTGTTTTTTACGTTTGTGCTCTGGAATGAAGTCGTGTTTAGTCGATCACGACTGATATACGCATCTTACCTGTTGCTATGTTTTACTAATTTTTGTCTTCTTTTAGAGATATGTATTACGTTTTTATGTTCTATATATTTTCTAGTTCATAGATACTTTATATTTTTTTTTTTTTGATCGTTTTGGAGACGAAACTGCGGAGTGTCAGTCCGTTAAGAAGGACTGATTGTGCTTGACAAATAACTGAGGCTTGTTTTTTGAGTTGTTGGTTTGTTAAATAGTTTAGTTTTATTTCGAACTGTAAGTTTTAATTTTTCATTCATTTGTATATTTGTTAAAAAATTTATAATCAAATTATAATTTATTTT